GGGTAAAGTTTCTTTCTCCTGAAGTGGGTAATTAGTTTAAAATTTACAATGTATAAGGACCAATCTTCTTCAAATTTTGATAAATACAGGAACCAAAACGAAATTCCAGATGCGAGACCCATGTGCCACGTCAGTAAAAAGCCACCTCAGATAAAGTTTATCCAAGTCAACAGAAGCTTGACAAGTCATCAACCATTAACGGAATTGAACGTTCACGTCAGAGGCGCTCGACATGGGTTTTGAATTACGTGAGTTATTGATACAGAAGAAAAATATTAGAAAGTGTTGAATATGAAAAATAATAAGATAAATGGTGTAAATAAAAAGTTTTTCTTTTTATTAAAACAATATTAAATGCTACGATCAGTTTCTAGTACTGTTTCATTAGTTTCGGGAAATAGAAATGACTATAAATCTTGCATACATACATAACAATTCAAGGCTTGTGGTTTGGCAAACACCAGTACATTTGAATGCTGTTTTTGTTTTCACATTAGAAAAAATTCTTGTAAATCCTTTAGTTTTTATCACTTGTACCTTTAGTATCGTTTAAGTATGATGATCTGACGAAGGGATGTCATTCTTTAAGGGTGCGTTTGGAGCCCCAGATGAAATGTTGGATTGGATAAAAAATTTATCCTCTCCCTCCTAATCCCATGTTTGGAGAATCCTCGGGATGAGATAACCATTATCTAACATTTTATCCAATCTGTTGCTCACCAAATAAATTTAATCCCATCAAACCCATGGGATAAGGGGGGGATTGGATTAAATTTCCTAAATCTACCCTTCTTGTCCTCTGCTTCTCCCTTTTCACAAATCACCAGCGACCTTCTCTTCAAATTCTCCTCTCACTGGTGACATTCTCTCTCCTGGCCGATTTGTGTCTCACTGACTAGTGACATTTTTTCTTCTGGCCGATCGTCCTCTCTCAACGGTGACTCTCTCCCCTACCTCTCCTCTCTCACCAATGATTTCTCTCTCCTCTTCTGGTTTGCTCCTACAAGTTAACTGGATGGGTTTCACAGATCTAGTTGCAAGGAAGGCAAAATCATGTCGGTTGCAACTACATCTTTTTTTTTGGCTAACAGCCACTTTTGGTTCAACTGCATATTCGTTGAGGAAGATGAACCTCTTTTTTTTTTTTTTTAAGAAAAACAGTTTTAACTTGAAACATTTTTTTAATTTGGGTTCTTTTTGGGTTTTCGAAAAAAAATGAAAACGAAAATGTTTCATAGGTGGAAGATTTACTAGTCTGCTTTCTTAGGAAAAAAATGAAATTGGGTTCTTGCTTGATTTTTGAGAAAAGAGAAGAAATTGAAAAAGAAAATATTTCATAAGAAAAATTGAAATCAGGAGTTCTTGTTTGGTTTACAAGGAAAAAAAAGAATGAAAATTGAAATTACTTCATTGCTTGATTTTTGAGAAAAGAGAAGAAATTGAAAAAGAAAATATTTCATAAGAAAAATTGAAATCAGGAGTTCTTGTTTGGTTTATGAGGAAAAAAATGGAATGGAAAAATGAAAATACTTCATTGAAACTCGAAGAATTACTACCATTTATTTTCTTAGTAAAGAAAATAAAAATATATTTTGATTTTCTTGCCATTTGAAATTTAATTTATAAAGTCACTAGAAAATTTTTAGTTTGATAGAAATATAATTTTGATAAAATTCAATTCAAAATTTTCAATTCATCCTGCTAATTAATTAAATTAATTTCATTAGTTTTTAATCATTATAAATTAATTGTTGAGTATATTTTATCAATAGTAAAACAAGATTTTAATTTGAATGCCTATAAAAAAATGTTTGCATTTTTAACAAAAATCTCAAATGTTGAAAAATATTACTAATATTATAAACAAGGACATTTTTGTTAACAGATATACATATTTATTTCCCAACTGTAGCTCTCCAAACAGAAGATTGGATTATTTTATTATCTAATCCAATCTCATCTAATCTAATCTCATTGTTTATATCACATCCCATCTTATCCAATCTTGTATTCGAAATGTGCCCTAAAAGAACTCATGCAAAGAAATTTGAGGAATGAAATTAATAGATATATAAATTATAAAGCTTACACCTAATTCCTGACAAGAAACAAGACTATGAGAAGGATCCAGGACTAAATAAGAAGGCATCTCGTTGGGCAATAATTCATATGATATACCCCAAGTGGATTAACGTCTTTGAGTCCTTCTAATAAAACGCTTCCCAGAGAACAAATGCTTGGGTTTCAAGGTAGGAATCACCCTATCTCATCTGCCTCTCCCCTACGAGCATCCTCTTCCTAACAGAATTCTTTCCCAGTTTGATTGCCTTGACCTTTTGTTTAGAATCCTTGAATCCCTCACCTGGGACAACTTCACTTGGAGGTCGTGACCTTGATCTTGATTGGGATCTAGACCTTA